CTGGTCACAAACTGGTCTCAGTGCTGGTCACAAACTGGTCTCAGTGCTGGCCACAGACTGGTCACTAGCTGGACATAAACTGGACATAAACTGGTCACAAACTGGTCTCAGTGCTGGTCACAGACTGATCACTAACTGGACATAAACTGGCCACAAACTGGTTCCGAATGGGTGAAAATGGTCACAATGTTGGTCTCAACCAGCATCCTGAGGTTTACCACTTGAGTATATGCCGGCTATTCAGGGGGTTCACTTTCAAAGCGTGGCAGAGTACTGCATTGCTCCTGCCGATGCCTGCTCGAAGAATGTACCACCTTTTACCTCTTCCTGGCGACTGCCAGGTAAGCTCGTGCCAACTCCTTTCTCCTTCATGGCCTTCCCTTTCCTCCAAGGATCTCTCCTTCTAGCTATCTCCTCTATTTCAGCACCCAACCTGGCTATGGTGCTGGTCTTCTTCTGCAGCAGCCATGGCTGCTGCTGGCCTGATGCCAGACTGCTGGGTGCTGGATGCTGCCCTCCCCTGGCTAGGGCTGGTCAGTGCTGTGCTCAAACACCTTGCTGACTTCCTACTCAATGCTCAACCCGGAAGGTCCTGGTCTTCTCTCTCTTCTCTCTTTCTCCTCAGCTATGACTGGTCCTCAGCTATGACTGGTGCTGGGCTTCTCTCACAGCCTAACCGCGGCTGAATAGTGGACTTGGACACAATGGCCTCCCAGCACAGCAGAGGGCTGGTAGCCCTGAGCTCAGACCCAGATAGGTAAAGCCCGGTCTGGTCAAGCGTTGGGTCTGATCGGACTGTCTGAGACCTGGTAGACTGAGTTTATATCTCTCTATGGGCTAGGCTACCAGAGTGGCCCGGCCCGGGACCACTTGCCCGGCCAGGCAAAAACAAAATTGAAATATATATATCAGACTTGCGGCGCATTTGTGCGGTGCGCGTGCACGGTGTGCAATGCGCGCGCATTGCGCGCATCGCGCATCTCCATGCGCCATGCGCGGGTTACACATGCGCATTCGCTGATGCGCACACACGTGCGGGCCATGCCCGGGGGTGGTGCGGCAGATGCACCGCCTCAATTTTTTTTAATTATTTATTTTTTTGGTTCCCCTGGTATATTGCCTGGGTTCCCCACCCGTTTCAGATTAGAATCAGCGGGCCAACTCTCTCTCTTCAATGAGCTGCTTTGGTAGAGCGGGCGCCATCGGCACTATCACCTGCATCATGGGGAAGGCAACAACACCAAATGGAGGTCAGCCCCTCGAATGACAAAAAAATCCCCTTCTCCCCCTCCACCGTCTCCCCTCCAATCCCCCTCTACTGTGCAACATTCCAGACGACATATAATTACAAAAAAAAGAGGAGGGAGAAAGGAGGAAGAAAGGAGGAGGGAGAAATGGAGGGAGGAGGAGGGAAAGATGGAGTGAGAGAAAGTGAGAGAGGAGGAGGGAGAGNGAAAGGAGGAAGAAAGGAGGAGGGAGAAATGGAGGGAGGAGGAGGGAAAGATGGAGTGAGAGAAAGTGAGAGAGGAGGAGGGAGAGATGGAGGAAGAAGAAGGGAGGAAGGAGAAGGGAGAAAGGAGGATGGAGGAGGTCGGAGTACCAAGTGCACACGTGGAGGATGGGAGGGGTGGATTAGCCGCGCGGATCATTAAGGAAAAAAGAAAAAGAGAGGAAGGAGGGAGAATGGAGGAGGGAGAAAGGGAGAAGAAAGGAGGAGGCAGAAATGAAGGGAGGAGGAGGGAAAGACGGAGTGAGAGAAAGTGAGAGAGGAGGATGGAGAGATGGAGGAAGAAGAAGGGAGGAAGGAGAAGTGAGAAAGGAGGATGGAGGAGGTCGGAGTACTGAGTGCAGACATGGAGGATGGGAGGGGTGGATTAGCCGCGTGGATCATTAAGGGAAAAAAAAAAGAGAGAGAGAGAGAGGAAGGAGGGAGAATGGAGGAGGGAGAAAGGAGGAAGAAAGGAGGAGGAAGAAATGGACACGTGGGGGATGGGAGGGGTAGATTTACGGCGCGGATCATTAAAAAAAAAAGAAACAAAAAAGGAGTGACGAAGGAGGGAGAAATGGAGGGAGGAGGAGGGAAGGATGGAGTGAGAGAAAGTGAGAGAGGAGGAGGGAGAGATGGAGGAAGAAGAAGGGAGGAAGGAGAATAAAGAAAGGAGGATGGAGAAGGAGGGAGTACCGAGTGGACACGTGGGCGATGGGAGGGGTGGATTGGCCGCGCAGATCATTAAGAAAGATAATAAAAAAAAAAGAGAGGAAGGAGGGAGAAAGGTAGAGAGAGCCACAAACGGGGAGAAAGAGAGAGAAAACC